TCACATGGGGTGGTGGATTCTGCAGTGGTGGGGTAAGTCGTAGTAGAAACAGTGGTGGTTTCTGTAGTAGTGGTTGGGACTGCTGTGGAAACAGTGGTGGTTTCTGTAGTAGTGGGTGAGACATACGCAGTGGTTGTTTCTGAAGTGGTTGTCAGTGTTGTTGTGGAAACAGTGGTGGGAGGGACGCATTCTTCCCAGCAGCATTTTACACGGATTTCATAGTCGTAGCAGACTTGAAAGAAGCCAGTCAACTGGCTTGCATCACAGTACAGCCCACTGTCCATATCACAGGTTACACCTTCTTGAGCTACAGACTCAAATGGCACATTCATTGGCATGCCACTGATTTGACACTGTATGCCCATAGGAGTTTCACAGAAGTCATAACTGTCTCTCAAGTTGGCATAGGTTTCATTCTGGTTAGGATTGCTAGGATTGGGATATTCCTTGTTCATCCACTCCTTCCATTCACACATCTCTTGGACGTATTCACATGGGGTGGTGGATTCTGCAATGGTGGGGTAAGCCGTAGTAGAAACAGTGGTGGTTTCTGTCGTAGTGGGTGGGGTCTTGGTGGAAACAGTAGTGGTTTCTGCAGTGGTGGGTTGGGCTGTTGTGGAAACAGTGGTAGTTGTCGGCACTACAGTTGAAAGCGTGGATGTTGGTGGTACTGTGCCACCACAAGAACAGCAGTACAAACGGACCTGTAGGGCATATCAGTCTTTAATTTTATTTTCTATTTATTATATCTATTTTTATTTCTTTGAAAAATAACCACGCTGCATAATACATGTATGATTAAGTAAAGAACTTACACTGTAGCAATATCTTGTTCCCAAAAGTGATAGTTTTCATTAGTGAGATCCTTACAGAAGTGCTACCAAATTGAATGTGACACCATTTCTGGTGTGAGGCCCTCACAAATATACTATGGGTTTGACTGCTATATTACATGGAGCAAGACCCTTACCACCCTACAGGTGTACATGGTATGAGACCCCTTACAGATGTACTACTGGGGTGAGACCATTATGTATGCAATTATGGTGTGAGATAGGTAAGCCTAGTTCAGTGGGAGTATACCTTTAGCACCAGGGACACAGATCATTCCATGTACTTCCTGTACTACAGATAAGCGTGGCATGTATACAATGTACACAGATGTAACGTTACCTCATAGTCAAGGCAGAAAGGATTGTTCTGTAGTTCTGCCTGGCAGAGGAAGCCTTGGTCCACATCACAGGTTACGTCCTGGTCGACTTGCTCCACAGGAATGAGACGCATGTTGTCAGGGTTCATGGCTGATGTGCGGCACTCAATCATGCTGAAATCAAAACAATCACCATGGCAACAGAGTTTGTGATAAAAACTAACTACATGTACGAACTTCTTTAAAAGTACTGGATCAAACTTCACTTTCGATTTATGAATCCTATGCTGTCAGATACAGCTTATGTGCTGAGATGATCTGTGTGTATAATGTTCAGGTACATGTAGCTGATATTCTTACCTGGGATGCATGCAGATGTTATTCCCAGCTTGCAGGAGATGTGCAAGTGTCTCATTGTCACCAGACCCCTGTATGCTGGGCTTGTCAGAGTTGATCCAGCTTGTCCAATAGCAGACTTCGGTGTGCTCACATGGCGTGGTCACCTCAGCAGTGGTTGAGGAGACTGTTGTTGGAGGAGCGGTACTCTGTGTTGTTGTGGAAACAGTTGTAGACACCGTTGTTGGAGGAGCGGTACTCTGTGTTGTTGTGGAAACAGTTGTGGTTTCCGTGGTAGTCGGGAATGTTGGAGATGGTGACCCAGTTGGTGTACCCACTGTTGTTTTGGCAGCAGTAGTGGTCCCACCACCACTACCACCAGGGGTGGTGCCAGAGACCGCGGTGGTGCCGGACACTGTGGTGGACTCGGAGACTGTAGTCTCAGCTGCTGTTGTTACCTCCTAGGGAGTTTAAAAGATTAGGGCATCGCATCAGCATTTTTAGTGTACCATAGGCACACTGGCACTATGGTATGGACTGAAATGTCTGGGTGAACGGGTTTGATTTTTTTCAATATGGTAAGTGGACTACCAGTCTTTTTGTGACTCTGTGGGGGGATTATGCAATGCTTTGTCTTCAACATGGTGGCCATTAGTACATTGTACAAGAATCTCATTAAATATACTAGTACATGTCAGAGTAAAAGCAATTGGTTTGATAAATGTTTTGTTACTGTACATGGAATCTGTTCAAAAGGTCATGTCTTTCTTCAGCTTAAAACAACAATTACCAAAGTAGTGGTTTCAATAGACTCTGTCGTTGTTGTTGTTGTTGGCAGCAGTGTAGTTGACACAGTTGTTGAAAGGAAGGCTGTAGTGGTTGGTAGTACTGTAGTGGTGGCAGGGCAGTCCATGGGTGGGATACACTTGCCGTTGTACAGGACTGTTCCATTCTAGGAGGAAAGAAACAGGCAACATGTAAGATCAGGGAAATGATATGATGGTTTAGTACCAGTAGTATCTTATTTTTTGTTACAATTGTTGATGCAAGTACAATTTATATATTGAATCATTAAATATACTTATTTTTGTCACATTGTGAATAATAAATTTGCCTCAAGTAACAATTGTCTCTAATAACATTGCCTGAGAAATTTTTTCCTTCCTTACATGATATGTGTGTGGAAGCTATGACTTACTGGGCATTTAGGATGGCAGCCCTCCATACACTGCAGATCACAGGTGGATGGATAGGGGTCCTCACAGGTTGCTGGGCAGGATGTTCCACAGGGATCATAGTGCCACTCACACTTCTCTGGGTCCCAGTTATAGTCTTCACACTGGGTGGCTGCAGAACAATTATAACAGGCAATTGGAATGTATTATCTGGGGTACTATCATAGTTGATTTTACAAAAGCAATGTGCAGCATAGAATGAATGATCCTAAGTAAATGAAAATAATAAATGTTTTCTATGGCAGAGAATAGATTTGGTTTGCACACTTCATCTTTCCTTCCTATTTTTATTGATCATAATCAATAATATATACCATGTAATATTTTCTCAATCATGTAAGATACCATTTCATTACTATAATCTTAGTGATGTATAAGTTTGATTCATTCAAGCTGGACTTACGGCAGAGTTCGTGTGTCCTCCACCTGATGTGGACGTCCCGAGTGTTACACTTGTCTCCATAGGCAGCTACAGCGGTACAGAAACACTCACAGTCACCACCGCTGTCACAGCTGCAGGAGTCCTGCACACAGGCCTCGTAGTACGGCTCAGGGTCCACCTGGAGTGGGAGGGGGGCAGACTGGTTCACAGCTGCTTCAACATTATATAGTATGCATATCATTGAAGGACATAATTAGCAGGCCATTTAGCAAAGGTTTTTATATGCCATTGTAACCTTGTGAAAATGTGTTCAGGAACTCTTTTCAAAACCTTTTGGGGAAGAAACAAAAAGTTTTTACAATTAGGCAATCTTAAAATCGCTCATTTGTACATGTAGATTATCTGGCAAACATGATGATACTGACAGCTGATGTATGAATTAACCTACCTTTGCTTTTTTTCTACATTGACTCCTTCTTTGAAAAATGAAGATTTGTCTGCCAGAAGAACATAATCCAGACTTAATATCTAATAAAGTAATTGTTCTACACAGTACCTTGTAGTGGCAGGGGCGGAAGGTGTCAGACAGGATGATGTTACAATGTCGATGTGCCCAGGCTTGGCGGTGTGGGTGCAGAGCACAGTAGTCAGCTAGCGGTGCCTCAACATCAGGACAGGACTGGGGGACAACACAACAGATAACAGATTCATAGATCCCATACAAATATACATTCCTAGCCTCTTACTTTACATTGTCAAGCAAATTGTCCTTCATCCACACTTAAGACACATGCAGCATGTCGACTATGTACAATATTCTATTTTTGGCTGGCTCAGAAATTCACATTCAAGTACATTTAAGGTTAGAATGAACAGTAACTGTTGTTTACTTATGTTTGAATTTTATCCAGCTACACAAGGCTCATTGTTACATGTCACTCCTAGTTCAGTTAACATTACAGACTAACTGTCTGACCCGGGATCATTCCTGGAAAGACGTCACCACGTACTGACACCTCATTGCCATGAAGCAAGAAGTTTGTACAATCCCAACCCAATTGTGCTGATTAACAAATATTTAAGTATTGAGCACCAGAGTCTGATATGTACCTTTGCGTACAGTACCTTGTTGTCATTCTGAGTCTTGGAGACTACATGAATGGAGATCAGTACTTACACTGGAAGCCTTCCAGCTGTTGGCAAAGTCCTGGACTGTGGTGGCCCTGTCCAGCTCGGGCGTGTTGAAGTCATTGATTTGGTTTCCATCAAAGTTTCCACACATGCCACACAAGCGGCCTCGGTGGTTGGGCCACGCCTTGATGTACAGACGCGTGGCATTGTCCCAGTACAGGTCAATACCATTCTCCACCTTAACAATGGTGAAGAATCCACTTCTGTAGATGTTGAACCTAGGGGAAAAACACTTTACATTGAAGCAGAGCAGTATCAACAGTAACACAGATTTCCAAGTAGTTTTAGGAACAATTCTGTCGTAGGATAATTGATTAACTGACTTATGATAACTTTTACAGAGAGATTTCTTTCGTGTAGAAAGTTAAGAGCTTAGAACTTAGATAAACTAATGCTAGTTTTGGTTAGTTGGTAGGATCACTAAAAGTTGTCATTTAAAGGAGTACTAACCTCCAGAAGGAAGTGGTATTTTCCGATACATCATGCTGCAATGAATACATAACTAGTCGACTTTTTACGTAATTTCGCTTGTACGACTTGCGCGGCGCATGTTTCTAAAGCGATATCAATATCATTTTCCCCCATGCTGAACCATAATCGATACATCCGGGATATCTGGCTTACGCAATACTCATACACTTCAAGTCAACATAAACATTTTTCGGCGAAAATGGTAGGAGACATGCTGATTATTGAGAAATTACTTGCTTTACTTTGCTGGACCTGTGGCTTTGATACTATAATATCAGGATGTCTAATGCAGTGGGCGCTAGTTTCATCCTGCGTGTTTTGATTTTCTCAACTTATTTGCATGTAAGTATTAATTGAACAGATAATTAGATTACGCCACTTATGGAAAAGATAACTAGATTACGCCGTTTTTTTCATCGTCAATATTTTCGGCATAAATGAGGGGCAATAAGGACATCAAGAAGGGCAATGGTTGGTAAGATACCAAAGAACACAAAACGGCATGAATTTTTCTTATCGCCCCCGAAATGAGGTCTGTAACGCAACTTTTTCTTTAAAACATAGACACAAATGGGGTAGCGTGGTGTATTCTGGGATAGTTTTGAGGGTATTTGGAGAGTTTGTCCTGGATTCGATGCGTTTTAAGACTTGCTCGCAAAATGGGCATTTGATTGTATACTGTAAAGTAATATGCATTTTTCACTTCCTAATATTAATGCCTGTCGGAATATAGCACCTCCTTCTGGAGGTTAGTACTCCTTTAAATACAATCTAGAGTGCAATTTACTGCAATTTTTCTCCAGAAGGCCTACTGTCAGGTGCGTAGAATAAATGACATACTTGTAGGAAGTGTAGGCAACCTCCGATCCCGGGATGGGTCCAACGTGGACGTCCTTGCCGTGCTCCAGTTGGATCTGTAACTGCTGGAGAGTCACGGTGACCTTACGGGCACACACGTTACCCGACAGTCCGTTACAGGCCGTCTTCTCTGCATGGATACGGAAACTTCCAGTCTGGTTGTAGCAATAATCCTGGGGAAAAGTGATATAAAAATTTCAGCCACAGTAGTCCAGAAAGATAAGATTTTCCAGCAAAGGCTGCCACAATGCACCAAATGGCAAATACAGCTGCCATCAGCAAGGAAAGAGGGAATTGTCGAAAGGTCCAAGAGCGATTACATCAAGGACATCAATAACAGATGTTTTAAGCAGTATTGTGAATGTTTGAATTAAAGTCATACCTAAAATCTTCTAAATTAACATTCTTTTTATCGACTAGAGATAATATAAAACTCTGAATAATTACCTGGGCAATGATATACTTGCAGGTTCCTTCAAACTGGTAGCTGTTACCATCAAAGGTCGTGTAGTGGGAGTTCCCAAACATGCTACACTGAGCTGCACAGTCTTTGGTGGTGCAGGACCAGACACCTTGTCTGCATGTACTGTTACAAGGTACCAAAGTAGGGAAACGTGTTTCATGAAGATAAAAATTCGAGAAATTAGGGCTGCAGGTCAGGGAAAGAATTTTAAGATGACAAGGCTACAAAGATTTAGGAATGACAGCATGCATAGATATGGGAAATAAAGTTAATGCACTGTGAAAACTGTTGAATAGTATGTTTTTGTTACATAATATAATTATTTTGAGCAAAAATGAGACTAAGAGATAGGAAATTCATAGAGAAGAGATGTAACTTGGCATGCACTGCTAGAATTTATTTGATTATATTTGATTTGAACACTGCTGGATTCAGTGCCTACCAGGAGTTGCAGTCCACACTGATGGTCTGGCCTGGCTCGTGCATCTGCCCATTGTGCTCACAGCGACAGTTCTCTGGCAACACACACTCATTCCCATCCCGAACCAGTCCGTGGGGACACTGGCACCCTGGTAAGGGTGCAGAGAAGGTCAAAATTTAACAAGGACAGTAGATACACGTAGATATAAGTATACACATAGGGCTCATAGAT